CTCCACTGCCTTCCTGGGCCACAGCAGAGAGCTGGACTGGAAGAGGAGCAACCAGGACAGAATCCGGCACCCCAACCGGGACCAGAACCTGAGGTGCCAGTGCCACAGGCGGAGGATTAGCCTAGTGAGCTGCAGCGCTGCCCTGTAATTAATATATTGAAACCTAATCACCAATGCTATCTTATTAGGAGGGAGTACTTTTGGAGGGTGAGTAGATTATGAAGGTGAAGCCCTCATGTTTGGGATTAGCCCTCTTTAAAAAGAGACTAAGGGACTAGCATTGTGGCGCAGGGGCTGAAACAGCTGCCTGAAATGCTGGCATCCTATGAAAGTTGGTTCCAGTCCTGGATGCTCAACTTCTGATCCAGCTCTTTTGGTGCACCTGGCCCAAGTGCTTGTGATTTTTTTTCCTGTACATTTATTCTAGAATGTCAAATAAGTGAATTCTTTCACTCAGTATATGGTTTTTGAGATCCAGAAATATCATGGACAGAGGTGTTTTCAAGTTGGTCAGAGACTTTGCTGATGCTCTGAGGTCTGGTCTCCCAGAGATACTCCAGCTCCTCCTCTCAACTATCCTTGTCTCCCTCCATATCCTCTGCTCAGTCCGTGTCTGTTTTTTTTTTTTTTTAATTTTTCCCCAATAGAGTTTGTTTCAAAGTGCAAAATATTGTTGCTCTTACTTTGAATTCCTACAAGGTTTGTACATCAGTATGTTCACATATCAGAGAATCAAAAAATATTCTATCATCATCTACTCAGTATCAGTCTTTTGTTTCTTCTTGGACAACTTCATTTGCTGTATTTAAAGAAGATATGGACATAACTGAGAAAGAATGTATGTGATAGAATGTTACACATTGATACACATACGCAATGATAACTCACTGATGCTGAGAACATTGAGTCTGATGATGATCTGGCTTTCCTGTGGGCAGAGCAGCATTGTCTTAGAGCCAGACAAGTTGTCACTTCTCTTTGGCCAGGGTTGGCGAAGGTCATGGGGTATGTGGTTGATGCCGTCCAGTCCCTGTGGGAAAGGTATAAAAGTATGGCAAGGAGCTGCTCCTCCCTGGGAAAGGATTATGTGTGTTAGTGAAGAAATATGGGACCAGATGACTCTACACTCAGCATGGATTATGTAATCCGAGGATGGTTTTCAGTATCAAGACATCATAGAATAATAGACGGTGCTTTCCTGATGTTCTAACCCCAAAAGCCTCCAGTCATGGTATGTCAGCCCATCATATCAGGAAAAATAAGTCTTTTCAGATTGAATAGAAGTATGGCATAAACAACTGTATTTTGGTTCTCTAGAGATACAGAAGCAATAGGATATATGGGTATTTGATGGGGGATTCATTTGGTTAACTGATATGCATGAGTATCACAGCTAAGTACCATAACAAGTTCTCTGGAGCATAGAGACCCTGGGATGCCAAAAGCATGACTCAGTCCACATCCAAGGCCTCAGAACCAAGGAAACTAGGATGCCAATCTTAACTTGAGATTGAAAGCTGGAGTTCCAGCAAAGGGACACAGGTGTGAGCCCTGGAGTCTAAATGCCAGCAAATGAGGTCCAAGACAAGACCATGAATGCCCCAGCTCTCTCATGGTGAGAGGACAATTCGCCTTCTACATTAGTCTCTCCAGACTATTACTGATGTTGCCCACACTGAGCCCTGATTTTTCCACCTAGTCCACTCAGACTCCCATGCCAATCTCTGGAAAGACCCTCACAGGAAGACTGAAAATAATGCTTTTCAGGTTTCTAGGTATTCCTCAATCCCATCAAATTGACATCATAGCATCAACCACCACAGCAATGATCCAGAAACTTAAACTGTGATCTCAAGATTGAAAATCAAAAAGATCAGCAGGAACATTTCAGGACACTTAAACCTTGTCTTTTCTTTTATATCTTGTTTTCTGTTTAGTCTGATTATCACAAAACAATGGTTGTTTCACAAAAAGATTTAGGAATATATGAGCATACTGCAAAAACATTCTTGGAAATTTCTTGTAATTAAAGATAAATGTTTTTGATGCAACAAATTTTGAATTTCATGTATTTACATTCACTGTGAACTTCTTGAATATTCCTCATGTTTCATATGTTATAGATGTACAGATATTTATGTATTTTTATTTTTTCTTTGCAAAATTTATTCACATGAAATCACTCTATTGTAAGACTCTATCTTTTATTTGGTGTAGGAGTAAGTGTCCTTTATTTCTTTTGGGTGTCCTTTATTCAGATCAAAGTTCACTCTACTAGAATGAAGTCATAATTCTATTAGACATATAGGGACTTTGGAATAGCCAGGGCTGTCGCTCCCCCTCTTCGTGGAGGAACGACACAGGACCCTGCGCTGTTCTTTTGTCTGCTCGGCCCTCCCCGGGTTTGCTGCTGGTTCTTCCCAGTTGGCTACCGTCCCTTCCACCTCCGTGGAAGGGTGGTTCCCCCTGCCACTTTCCCCACTTCCGTGGGGGAGCGGCACACCGCCGGCCGGCTCTCTTGGGGGCTGCACAGGTGTTCGTTCAGATAGATGTTCCCTGGTGCATGTTGTCTCTCTCCTCCTTTATAGTCCTTTTCCACCAATCCCAACTCTGCTACCCACACGCCGAGTACGCTGCTCTCCTCCAATCAGGAGCAGGTCCTGCTGTTTATTGGTTGAATTGGAGGCAGCTGTGTAGAGGCTGTTTCCTCCTCTCCCAGCGCCATATTGTGGGAGAGCAGATGCATAGAATAAGTCTTAATTCCAGTAACTTAGTCTAGTCTGAGTTGCTCCCAATTGCTCCCCACACAGGGCCTTACGGGTAACTACAACAAATGGAGATTAATGCACAACACATAAACCTCAGAATTGTGGGCATTTTTTTCCCCATGTTTGAGAAGAAAAATACCAGCAAAGAAAGATTTAAATGCACAAGAGTTATTTTAAGAAAATCAATTTCTATAAATATACTTTATTGCTTACTCATAAATTTATACTTCTCTTTCCCTTGCTGCCTAATTGGTTTCCTGCTTACAGCTTGGCTCTATGCTTCATGTTTTCCTAAGAATTAAGTCCCTGATATTTGTCTGCTCAGGCCATTCTTCCACTAACAGACCAGTAGCTCTTCCCTGATTGAAAGCCCAAAATTCATAGCTTGGCATTCAAGTCTCTTCAGAATCTGACCCCAAACTGTTTTTATCATTTTACTTGCCTCCCCAGGAATTCCCTCCCAGTGTTCCTCCCAGTCACCACAACTGTTGTTCTCCTGCATATAAAGTATTTGACAGTAGGGGGTACAATTTTATACCATACCAGGTGAGCATCTGTCTGCTTACCTGTCTACTGTAACTTCACAGAAGATGATCCATAATCTCTGAAATCACCCTTTTTATTAAAAAAAAATTTATTTATTTATTTGAAAGAGTTACACAGAGAGAGGAGAGGCAGAGAGAGATCTTCCATCCACTGGTTCACTCCCCAATTGGCCGAAATGGGTGAGCTGCGCAGATCCGAATCCAGGAGCCAAGAGCTTCCTCCAGGTCTCCCACACTGGTGCAGGGGTCCAAGGACTTGGGCCGTCCTCTACTGCTTTCCTAGGCCATAGCAGAGAGCTGGATCAGAAATGGAGCAGCCAGGACTCGAACTGGCGTCCATATGGGATGCTGGCACTGCAGGCAGCAGCTTTACCTGCTATGTCGCAGCACCAGCCCCAGCAATCATTCTTTTATATGGATTATCTAATCTCCCACTTGTTTTTATTTAATTTTGGGGAAAAATGTACCTAACATGAAATTACCATTGCAGGTATTTTTCAGTATGCCTATGGTGGCATTAAGAATATTCACACTGTTGTGCAGCCATCAACACCACCAAAACTTTTTCATCATGCCATTCTGAAATTCTGTACCCATTTTTTTTTAAAGAAGCAACTCCCAATTTATTTATTTATTTATTTGACATGCAGAGTTATAGACAGTGAGAGAGAGAGACAGAAAGGTCTTCCTTCTGTTGGTTCATCCCCCAAATGGCCGCCACGGTTGGAGCTGTGCCGGTCTGAAGCTAGGAGCCAGGTACTTCCTCCCAGTCTCCCTTGCAGATTCAGGAGCCCAAGCATTTGGGCCATCCTCCACTGCCCTCCCAGGCCATAGCAGAGAGCTCGACTGGAGGAGGAGCAACCAGGACTAGAACCCAGCACTCATATGGTATGCTGGCGCCGCAGGCGGAGGATTAGCCAATTGAGCTGCGGTACTGGCCCAGAAATTCTGTACCCATTACACATTCACATCTCATTTTCCTCTCACCCCCTAGCCCATGATAACCCTTATTCTACTTTCTGCAATAATGAAGTTTCCTACTCTAGGTATTTCATGTTGGTGGAAATACACAATATTTGCTTTTTAGCATAGCATGAATTCAAGGTTCAACTTGTGTTGTAGCATGTATCAAAATTTCATTTCTATTTAAGGCTAGAAACTATTCCACTGTATGCATATAACAGAAGTTTTTATCCATGTATTTGTTGATGGGTATTTGGATAGTTTCCAACTTTGGCTATGAATAATGATGGTAGGTATATTAGTGTGCAATATCTATTCAAATCTAGTAAGACACTAATTCGTTCAATTATTTTGTGTATATTCTCATTAAGTGAGACTGCTGAGTCCAATTGAACTTCTCTGTTTATCTTTTTTGAAGAACCACCATACCATTTTCCACAATGTGCCATTTTACATTCCTTCCAACAAGACACAAAGATTCCAATTTCTCCACATCTATGCCAATGCTTGTTGTTTCCCATATTGTTTTGATGATAGCCTTCTTTGAATGTGAAATGGTATGTGGGGTTTTGACTTTCCCTAATGATTAGTGATGTTTAGCATTTTTTTAGGTGCCTATTAATCACCTGTAGATCTTCTTAGGAGAAATGACTATTCAAACCTGTGCTCATATTAATTAGCTCATTAATTAGCATATTTTTTTGTTTTGTTTTTGTATATTAAGAATCTGGAACACATCATGCTGAGTGAAATAAGCCAGTCCCAAAGGGACAAATACCATATGTTCTCCCTGATCGGTGACAACTGACTGAACACCAAAAAGGAAACCTGTTGAAGTGAAATGGACACTATGGGAAACGGTGACTTGATCAGCATAGCCCTGACTGGTAATGAACAACTTAATACATTATCCCTCTTAGTAGTTTTTTTGTCTGTTCTACTTTTAATATGACTGGTTTAACTCTGTAATTAATACACAGTTATTCTTAAGTGTTGAAAATTAACTGAAATGTGATCCCTGTTAAACATAAGAGTGGGAATAAGAGAGGGAAGAGATGTATAATTTGGGACATGCTCAAGCTGACTTGCCCCAAATGGTAGAGTTAGAAACATACCAGGGGATTCCAATCCAATCCCATCAAGGTGGCATGTACCAATGCCATCTCACTATTCCAAGTGATCAATTTCAGTTCACAATTGATCATAATGAAAGGACTAAGAGTCAAAGGGAGCACATAAACAAGTCTAGTACCTGCTAACACTAACCGATGGAATAAATAAAGGGGAGAGTGGTCCAACATGGGAAGTGAGATACTCAGCAGACTCATAGAATGGCAGATGTCCTAAACAGCACTCTGGCCTCAGAATCAGCCCTAAAGGCATTCGGATCTGGCTGAAAAGCCCATGAGAGTATTTCAGGCATGGAAAGCCAAGACACTCTGGCAAAAGATCTCTGTGAGTGAGATCCCAGTGGAAAGAACAGGTCTTCAAAGAAGGAGGTACCTTTCTCTGAAGGGAGGAGAGAACCTCCACTTTGACTATGACCTTGTCTAAACAAGATAAGAATCGGAGAACTCAGAGGGCTTCCATAGCCTTGGAAACTCATGACTGGAGCATAGGGAGATTACTGATGCCATAGACAGGAGTGTCAATCGGTAAAGTCAACAACAGGAGTCACTGTGCACTTACTCCTCATGTAGGATCTCTGTCCTTAATGTGCTGTGCATTGAGATTTAATGCTATAACGAGTACTCAAACAATATATTTCACTTTGTGTTTCTATGGGGGTGCAAACTGTTGAAATCTTTACTTAATGCATACTAAACTGATCCTCTGTAAAAAAAAAAAAAAAAAAAAGAGAGAAAAAGAAATTATCAACTCCCAACTTGACTCTCACTGGGATTAAACATGACAATAGGTCTGATCTGATTTCATCATCATTTAAAAAAAATCATCTATTATTTTTCACTTTATGTTTCTGTGTGGGAGCAAACTGTTGAAATCCTTACTTAATGTATACTAAGCTGATCTTCTGTATATTAAGATAATCAAAAATGAATCTTGATGTGAATGGAAGGGGAGAGGGAGTGGGAAAGGGGAGGGTTGTGGGTGGGAGGGACGGTATGGGGGGAAAGCCATTGTAATCCATAAGCTGTACTTTGGAAATTTATATTCATTAAATAAAAGTTAAAAAAAATAATTCTCTGCATATTGGATGTTAACCTCACATATCTTATTTACAAACATTTTCCCACTCTGTGAATTGTCCTTTTCATCTGTTAATTAGTAGTATTTGATGGAAAACGATTTTAGTTTTTATCAAGTCCGATTTATTTTTCTTTTGTTGCCTTGTGCTAAATTGAGTGCCATGAAGCTTTTCTCCTAACAGATTTATAGTTAAACCTCTTATGTTTAGTTTTTAATCCATTTTTAGTTAATTTTCATATATGGTTAAGGGAAGAGTCTGATTTTATTTATTTATGTTTTTAACACATGGACAACACATTTTCCAGTACCATTTCTAAAATTACATTCTTTCTCCATTGGCATCCTTGTTGAAAATGATTTGACAATAGATGCAAGAGTTTGCTTCTAGACTATCCTATTCCTTAGTCTGTTGCTGTCTTTATGCAAGTACCACATTCTTTTGATTAAGGTAGCTTTGTAGTAAATTTTGAAATCATAAAAGCTTAGTCTCCCTAGCGGCGCCGGCACTCCGGGTTCTAGTCCCGGTTGGGGCGCCGGATTCTGTCCCGGTTGCCCCTCTTCCAGGCCAGCCCTCTGCTGTGGCCAGGGAGTGCAGTGGAGGATGGCCCAGGTGCTTGGGCCCTGCACCCCATGGGAGACCAGGAAAAGCACCTGGCTCCTGGCTCCTGCCATCGGATCAGCGCGGTGCGCCGGCCGCAGCGCGCCAGCCGCGGCGGCCATTGGAGGGTGAACCAAGGGCAAAGGAAGACCTTTCTCTCTGTCTCTCTCTCTCACTGTCCACTCTGCCTGTCCAAAAAAAAAAAAAAAAAAAAAAAAAAAAAAAAAAAAAAGCTTAGTCTCCAAAGTTGTTCTTCTCTTCCAAGATTGTTTTAATTATTTTTGAACCACTGAGATTCCATAAAAGTTTTAGGGTAGATTTTTCTTCTTCTGATAAGAGATTGATTGAAATTTTCAGTGAATTGAAGAAACCAGAGCAAATTTTATATTGCTTTGGGTTGTATTGATATCTTGATAATATGGAGTCTTACAATTCATGAACACAAGATGTCTTCTCATTTACTTGCCACTATTTTTTTTTCAGCCATTTTCTACAGTTTGCTGTGTACATGGCTTTTACTTTTGTGGTTAAGTTAATGACTGAGTATTTTGTTCTTTCTGATGCTGTTGTAAATGTAATTGTTTTCTCGATTTTTATTCATAATTATTCACTGTGAGTTTATAGAAATACAGCTGATTTTATTCATGATTTTGCATCCTACTGAATTTGTTTATAAGTTCCCACAACTGGTTGTGTGTGCATGTGTTTGTGTACACATGTGTTCTTCAGGATTTTCTCCTTTAAGAGCATGTTGTTTGTGAACCAAGTTAATTTTACTCTTCCCTTTGTATTTGGGTGACTTTTATTTCTTTTCTTGTCTCACTTCTCTAACTAGCACTTCCAATATTACATTTTCTAGAAATGCAAAACTAGTCATCCATGTATTCTTCCTCAGAGGATCTGTCATTCTTCAACATCGAGTATGATGTTGTCTGTTGGTTTTTCATATATGGTCTTGATTAAATTGAAGTAGTCTCCTTGTGTTACTGGTTTATTGAGTGTGTTTTATTCATTTTTTATGATAAAAGGGGGTTGAAGTTTGCAAAATGATTTTTCTATATCCAGTGTGCTGATCATATTTTTTCCTTTCACACTTTAGTACAGTGTATTATACTGGTTCATTTTCATGGTTTGAACCACCCTTGTAACCCAGAAACAGATCTCACTTGATCAGCATGTATAATAACTTCAGTAAACTGCTGTACTTAGTTTTCTGGTATTCCCTTGAGGATTCCTGCAGCAATGTTCATTGTTTATATTGGTAAGTAGTTTTCTTTTAGGTTCTGTCTGTCTACCTTGCATAGCAGGGTAATGCTGGCCTCATAGGATGAATCAGGAAGTGTTCTTTCCTGTTTAATTTTCTTATGTTCTTTTTTGAATTTCAGGTTGAAATTATCAGATGCAGGCCTTTTCTTTAGTGCTATTTTTTTTATCATTGATTCAATCTCCTTATTAGTTTCATGCTATTCAGGTTTTTAATTTCTTTCTTTCTTTCTTTCTTTCTTTCTTTCTTTCTTTCTTTCTTTTTTACAGGCAGAGTTAGAGAAAGAGACAGTGAGAGAAAGAGACAGAGAGAAAGGTCTTCCTTTTTAGGTTAGTTTACCCCCCAAGTGGCTGCTACTGCTGGCACCTTGCAGCCATCGCGCTGTGCTGATCTGAAGCCATGAGCCAGGTGCTTCCTCCTGGTCTCCCATGCGGGTGCAGGGCCCAAGCACTTGGGCCATCCTCCACTGCCTTCCTGGGCCACAGCAGAGAGCTGGAGTGGAAGAAGAGCAACTGGGACAGAATCCAGCGCCCCACCTGGGACTAGAACCCGGGGTGCCGGTGCTGCAAGCAGAGGATTAGCCTAGTGAGCTGCGGCGCCGGCCATCATTTCTTTATTACTTTTTTTTTGACACATTTTTACAGCTTTATCATTTCGTTTAGATTTCTCAATTTGTACAATCAATTGTTTATAATATTCTCTTATATCTTTTTCACTTTGATAGTTTTTGTAGTAATATCCCCCACTTTAATTTTTTCAGTTAATTTAATCTAATTTTTTTAACTTTTATTTAACAAATATAAATTTCCATAGTACAACTTTTGGATTATTGCGGATTTCCCCCCATAACCACCCTCCCACCTGCAACCATCCCATCTCCCACTCCCTCTCCCACCCCATTCTTCATCAAGATTCATTTTAATTATCTTCATATACAGAAGATCAATTTAGTATATACTAAGTAAAGATTTCAACAGTTTGCACCCACATAGAAACATAAAGTATAAAGTACTGTTTGAGTACTAGTTTTACTGTTAATTCACATAGTACAATACATTAAGGACAGAGATCTTACATGGGGAGTATGTGCACAGTGACTCCTGTTGTTGGTTTAACAATTGACACTCTTATTTATGAGGTTGGTTATCACCCGAGGCTCTTCTCATGAGCTACCAAGGCTATGGAAGCCTCTTAAATTCGCCAACTCTGATTATATTTAGACAAGGCCATAGTCAAAGTGGAAATTCTCTCCTCCCTTCAGAGAAAGGTACCTCCTTTTTGATGGCCCATTCTTTCTGCTGGGCTCTCACTCACAGAGATCTTTCATTTAGGTCATTTTTTTTTTCCACAGTGTCTTGGCTTTCCATGCCTGAAATACTCTCATGGGCTTTTTAGTCAGCTCTGAATGCCTTAAGGGCTAATTCTGAAGCCAGCTTGCTGTTTAGGACATCTGCCATACTATGAGTCTGCTGTGTATCCCACTTCCCATGTTGCATTGTTCTCTCCTTTTTAATTCTATCAGTTAATATTAGCAGACACTAGTCTTGCTTATGTGATCCCTTTGACACTTAATCCTATCATTGTGATCAATTATGAACTGAAACTGATCACTTTGACTAGTGAGATGGCATTGGTACATGCCACCTTGATGGGATTGTATTGGAATACCCTGGCACGTTTCTAACTTTACCATTAGGGGTAAGTCCGATTGAGCATGTGCCAAACTGTACATCTCCTCCCTGTCTTATTCCCACTCTTATATCTAACAGGGATCACTTTTCAGTTAAATTTAAACACCTAAGAATAATTGTGTGTTA